TAAAAAGGGAATCTTATTGGTGAAAGCTAGAAGGCAGTCGCATGTGTTGCGTTCCCCTCTGTGAGTCACCTTCCTCGAGCTTATTCTAAAACTTGGGGTCAATGTTTAGTTCAAGTTGGGGGGGTATTGCTTTTCTTTTTTTCGAATTATTTGTTAGTTCTATGTTAATTGATGTGTAAATCCACGAGTTGAAGTCCTTCCCAAATTTTGCCAAATTTTTTTGTTTTGTTCAAGAACTTGGTTCTTATAGTGTTAGGGAATATTATATAGAGACAAAGGGATGGTTGGTTAAGGGTAGGAAGTTAGGAATAACGTGACAATGATACGATTCTAACATGTAGATTTATACCATAGTGCTTGAATCCTAAGAAGTACTCCTTGAGTAGTTTATCAATATAGTTTGGCATAATCTAGATTCACTTGCAGGTATGATTGGTTGAGAAATAAATAAAGCTGACACAAAATGATGAAAATGCAGTAAAAGGCAACTGGCTCGCTAAATTAGGTAGCCCTCACTCGGTTATTTGGGGGTTGATCCCCAAACATCATCCAAAAGGATAATATACAACTGCAAAGTTTGAAAATTTCATCGGTAATTAAAAGTAGCCAATGTTGGTTATTTGGTGCTACCTAAAATTTTTTGATTAGTCTTGTGCATGTGATGATCATCATAATTGTCATTGCCTTAATTTGACAGTTCGAATGAAAAAGGAGTAAAATTGGAAAGATATTTAAGTATAAATCATAGTTAGAGATGTATCTGAAGAAGAAGCTAGAGATTTAAAGGTTCTTAAACAAACTCTTTGCGTCATGTGAACATCAGACGAACTACTTTTTGATCAATTGGAATGGATGTCTCACGTATGAGTACCGTTTTGCTGTGATTTTTCATGGGTTATGAAATGGTCACTTGAGGTCAAGCAACGCTTTAAGTTTGGGGGAGTTTGATCAGTGGTTTTTACACATATATTTAGCATTATTTTAGTTATCGTTTATATTTCTTGTCGGGGTTTTATTTTATTTTATCGCATATTATGCTTTAGTTTTATGTTTTAATGTTTTCAGGTTCAAAAGAATAAATCAAGACAAACCGGTGCAAAACTCGGAGTTTCGGAAGAAATGAAAATATCCTCCTATAGGAGGCCTGATACGGCCACCCATGTTGCCTGACACGGGCTGTGTCATGATGATAGCCATAACGAGGGTGAGGAATAGGGAAAGTCAAAGGTGTGAGTGGATGCCCCTGTCAGGGTTCCTGAACCAATAATTCAAGAATTAAATTTCCAGAGGTCCAACACAGCCACCCGTATTGCCTGACACGACCCGTGTTAGACTGTGATGCTGATTTCAGTATTTTGGGTTATTTTGTTCCTTAGATAGCCTTTGAGGGTATTTTGGATATTTCTAACAGACCTAAATGAGTTTTTTCTATTTAGAGGAGTCTCCACAATGAATTGGAGGACATTTTTGCCAGACGAAGAATTGAGGATTGAAGATTGAAGCCTACGCAAGTGTTGGAGAACAATGACCTTTCATGAGCGGAAGCGGTTGAAGGTCAAAGTTCACCATCTATGTGTAATGTTTAATTTTTATTCTGAATTTACTTTGAACAATATGAGTAGCTAAATCCCCCCCTCTCCCCCAATGCTAGTGGGTGTCCTTGATTTGAATATCTAATAATTATGAAATCTTGAGTTCTTTAATAAAGTTATTTTCTTATTCAATTTAATCGTGCAACGTTCATGCTTTCTTGATCAGACCAATTAGGATTGAGTTACGGTTAACAACCAGCTGGACCGCAGTTGTTAAGGTTTTTGTACGATTAGACTATAGTAGATATCATCTAGGACTAGGGATACCCTATATTTACCGGATTTAACCCTTAATAAAATAAAGGCTTGACTCCATCAGATATCTCTAAGGACATAGGATCTAGGATGGATGGTTAAAGGTTTTCTCACTAAGGACTTAGGGGAAAATAATCTAAAGGGTTGGTAGTTGAAGGTAATGAACTTATTGAAGAGATCAAGAGTACATGTTATTGTAGAGTCAAATCACACACCTACCCCTAGCATGCTCCTCATATTTGAGAAAAATCTTAATTTACATTTTGTTTATTTTTAATTATTGTTAAGTGACAATTTCCAAACCAAAACCCCAATTCAAGTTTTGTCTAATTGAACTCAATATTGATACGTAGTTCTTGAGATTGATACTTTGGGATTCCTCATTATTACTATATTGGTAAATCCTTACACTTACTAATTATCGATCACTAATTTTATTAGAAAGTACTTTTAATTAACTTTCTAACGATACGAACCGCGCGTCATTCTGATACCCGAGGCGAAAGTTACAAATTTCCGAAATTTGGAAATTTCAGCCCACACAATAAAGTAATTGGTTACCATCCTGAAGTAACGAGTTACTTCAACTGCCACGCCCCTGATTTTGGTTGAAGTAACCAGTTACCATCCTGAAGTAACGGGTTATTTCAACTGCGAAATCGTTTTTCTGTTGTTTTTAAGCTACAAAACCTATTTCTTTCATATCCCAAACAACCCTAAACCTCCATTATCATTACCAAACACGAATTCACAGTATCATAGCATAAAACAACCATAATACACACACACACAAATATATATATATATATATATATATATATATATATATATATATATATATATATATATATATATATATATATATATATATATATATATATATATATATATATATATATATATATATATATATATATATATATATATATATATATATATATATATATATATATATATATATATATATATATGAAGATGCATTATCATTTCAAGAACACACATTCATCAATTAGATCAAGCATGCAAGCATCATTCTCAATCTAAACCCAACATGCAATTTATTTCTCACCAAATTCCTACCCAAGTTCCTATCTATGGAACTCACCTCAAACTTCAAAGTTCTGAGTTGAAATAATGAAGATGATGATAATTTTTCCCTTAAGATTTCTCCTAGATCAAAGTTCCACGTCCAAAATCATCAAACCTGTAATCCCTCTTTAACCCATTTTCCACAAGAATAATCAAACTTCAAACCCATTTTACTCCTTGAATACAGACCTTATTGACACGAAATCATATATTAAATTAAACGAAATTTCACAAGCTTTTCAAAAAGTCCGAAATCAGCTCAAACAGAGTTACGAGTAAAAAGATATTACCTGATTAGTAGAGGAAATACCATAGTTATGAAAATGGAAAAGATAAACATGAATTCTTCTTTCTTTCTCTTGCTTCTAAGCCCTCACTCTCCAAAAATCTGATCATGAAAATATTGGAATGGAAAGCTATGTCCAAACAAACTCATAAGTAGTTCATGTGTTATGATCAATGACCATAACACCCTTTAACTAAACCATAATTACCGGTTTGTCATTTAGTCCATTTCTAACCAACTCCTTTTTTATTCCAACTATCCCACTAACTTCCCCTTAACAACTTTTAACATATATACATATTTAATGTCATCTTGACACTTAATAATCATTAGGTCTAGCTTACTCTTATTCTCATGCTTAGAAAATTATATATATATATATATATATATATATATATATATATATATATATATATATATATATATATATATATATATATATATATATATATATATATATTGAAAATTAATTCAAAATTAAATGAAGTATTTAGATAACATGATCAAACTATTATTAATAATTTTTCAAATAATTTTATAACATTTTCTAAGATAGTTATACTATACTAAAAAATGAATTTTTTAATCAAAATTTGTTAAGTTGTTAGTATAAAAAATTAACGAATCTAATATATTTTTAAAAAATCATATATTTATATAAAAATTAAAATAGTTTAAAATAAAAAATTTATATTGTGATAATTCATATAAACAATTTATTATGATATTTACCTTAACACATAAATATATTGAATATTTTCATTTAATTTTGAATTACTTCTTAAAAAAACTTTAATTTCAAAATTTATTATTATTATTATTATTATTATTATTATTATTATTATTATTATTATTATTATTATTGTTATTATTATTATTTTTATTATTATTATTATTATAAAAAATTTCGAATGGATATTTTCATTGAATTAAAATAAAGGATGAATAAAACTTTTATTAGAATAAAACTTTTTGAAAACAAATCTCATTTTAAAAAACAAATTACATTTAATATTAAATAAAGAAACAAATTATATTCATTAAATTGAACAAATGCCAAGTTGAATGAATAATTATGGATCTTTAAATTTAAAAAAAAAAAATTGATAAGACTTTGTGTTAAAATAAACTTTCTAAAAGCATGATTATCGGTGTTCTTTGAGAGTTCCTACACATTTATTAAAGAAATTGTGTCAATAATAAATGGATATTTCACTTGTTTTCACGTTGCTGAACTAAAGCACGTCATCATTACTAAAACACGCTTCTACACTCCAATTAAGTGGGTTATGATAATAAATTAATAAATAAAATTGCAAGAATGTAGTTGATTTGTTTTAAATGTGAGACCCATTTTAGATTTTTTGATGAGTTACATGAATATTTGAGAATTGTAGATGGATTGTTTAAAAAACTGAGAAGTGTGAAATAATATAAAAAATTATGTGAGTCTCATTTAAAGAACACAAATGGGTATGATGGATGTGGATGCTCTAAGTACTTTATATAACGGAGTAATGTTCTAGTAATTTTGAAAATACTTTATATTGGTATATTTTCTTTTTATTTGACTAAATATATTCTTTTAAAAAAATTATGTATAAAATATAATTCAAAAAGTTATTCACTCCATGACAAAAGACATTTATTATTCTCTTAATTATCAATAAATAAAAGAACATTTTCCTCTTATTTAAGACACAATAGCTCCATTTTCATTTCACTTCAACAAATCAACTATACCAATTTTTCTCTTTGCTCAAGTTTCTTAGAATTACATGGCTTGTTCATTGCCTTTGGTTTCCACCATCTTTGTCTTTCTTCTTCTTGTGGCCACTGGTGAGTGTAATTTCTTTATGCTCTAATAATTAATACCTACTATTTTTTAAAATGTCAATTAAATATTTTAGTATTTATACTATCAACAATATTTTGTTTTAAATATTTATTTATTCTAATAATTAGTATGATTTGAATTCCATTTATTTACTTATTTTTATAAAAATACGATTAATTAATTTGTACTAATAATTTTATGAAATGGATAGAGATGGGCCCGAATATTGTGGCAGAGGCAAGGATTTGTGAGTCACCAAGTCAAAAATTCAAAGGAGTATGCTTTAGTAACACCAACTGTGCTAGTGTGTGCCAAATTGAGGGTTTTCCTGGAGGAAAATGTAAAGGTTTGCGTCAGAGATGTATTTGCACTAAACCTTGTTAAAAAACTTTTAGAATATTTCTTTGAGAGATGATTGTTCATCACCTTTTGTAATCCTATCTATTTTACAATAATATAAAAGAGCATTCTTAATTTTACAATAATTTTCATTTCATATTAATTAAAAATAATTTCATTTGCTACTGCTTCTGTAATAAATTCACCGTATGTTAGGTATCTCAGTTTCAAATTGCATTTAAATGGAACTATTAAGACTTGATAGTTTATATAGCAGATAAAATGTACTATAACTTATATTTTCTTCTTCAAATCTGCAAGCATCTACAATGGTCTCGTCTTTGAACATAAACAAGAAAGAAACATGAATTCAAGTAACTGCAAAATTCAGATTCAAAACTATCATAGTTTGCATTCTTATTTTAGATATGGATTTAGTATTAAACCCAAAATTCTTTAATTCCTCAAATAAATTGTGTTTTTAAGGATTAAACCCCAAATCATTTAATTCCTCTAATTCCACCAATAACTCAGACGAAGAAACTAGACACGTAAAGTCGATTTTGAATTTTTTATATATATTAAAATTTTTGGATTTTGTGAATGTGAGGATGAAGATTAAATAAGAACAACAATTAAAATTCCGAAATTTTTTAGTGATCAATTTTTCCATCACTAAATCGATCACAAAAATTTACCTAACCACGTAGCATTCCACGACAGTGCCACATAGTCTTTGACTAATAGTATAGAAGAAAAGAAAAAAACTGACATGACCTAATTTTCAGAGATGAGGGATTAAAATGATTTTTTTTAAAGTTAAGAAACTAAACTGACCTTGATAAAGTATGGAAAATAATATTTAACCTTAAAAAATAAATAAAACTGAGTCACTCTGATTAAGATGTTTTTTAATTCTTCTTCCTTTAAATAGATCGAAGGGACTAATTAATAATATCAATATCATCTCAAATAACAATAATCAAATATTTCTTTTTTGAATGACATAAATAATCAAATGTTAATACACCAGATGAATCCTATTAATCTTCTTTCAGATATTTTTTAAATTCAATGTCTGATACAAGTGTGAGTTTATTAACAAAAGTATTTTTAAAACTACAACATTTTTGGTTTTAAGAAACAGCTAAAAATCGCGGCTAAAACACCTAAAACACCTAACACTGTAGCCTAAGGCTTTAGGCGACGCTTTCTAAGGCTTGGAATAAGTGGCCGTTGCCTATTTCTTTAGGCAGCGGATTTTTTACTTCTAACCACGGATTCCAAACACCGTTGCTTAAACATGACTTGGCTACGGTATAAAAGCTAACATTAAGCCGTGGTTTTCTACAACTAACATATATTAACCGTAGATGAAATTACAAAAAGCCACGGTTTATTTCAAGAAACACATGTGTAAGCGTGGTTAAAACATATCAAAAGGCCAAAGCGTTTTTATAGCAACATTCAATAAGTGTTGCCATAGGTTTAAAATTATATATTAGAAAAACCATTTTTCCTTTTATCTTACATCAACATAAATTTTGCCTACCATTTGCAAATGATTCCATTCGAAATGTATAGTTAATTTTGATCATGAAACGTATATATAGTACTCTAGTAGTCATCAATCATAATGGTCATTTAGTTATATAAATATATCATATTAAAATCGATAAAAAAAATGCAACATTACCCAAATAGTTATTCCAACCAGTCTAATTCAAATTACAAACATTACAAGAAAAATATAACTCTCATTTTCATATATTCATGACAAACCTATTAAATTTACATCCCTAGTGTTTACTAGACAACTTCAGTTACATTCCTAATTTTTTCTGCACAATTGAAAAGCAATGCTCTTTTCGATTCAAAAACTCTGACTATACTCTTCAAATCACTTGCTCCTGTGAAAATAATTAAGTACAACAAAATGTAATCTAGAAAATCAAAAATCCCAACCATAGATATAGATGAAGATTTGGGATACTACATGCATTCTTTATTTAAATTTTAATCATGATAATCATTTCATAAAGGTGGTGTTTCTTAATGTAGTGTAAGGCCTATCGAGGTTGTTTTCTAAATATTTATTGATAGTATCCTTAACTAAGGAAAAAATAGAGATAAACATTTTGCATCACAACTGAGACTCATTAATAAGAAAATAAATATATTAGATTATGCAAAAGAATCTAAATAAAATTTTCACAAAACTAAACACAGGCTTAATGAAATTCGAAACCTAGGATTTAATTTTAGTGGCTACCTTGATTGTTGTCCGTGGAGTCATCAATAACTTGTATAATTGACTTATCACAAAGCGAAGAAAGACCACATGTAACTCCAATTGACAATAGATAAACCTACATTAATAGAAAATTCAATAGTATCAAGTCATAAAACGGCTTAATTAACACATATAACAAAGTTAAATTACATTGAAATTAAAATAATAGTAAAGTAATAAAATACCTCTCCTTTCACTGTACATAGGGTTTGAAGAAGAAACATTAAATAACAATAGATTCTAAAATGCAATTTAGAGGACATAATTAATATATATTAACTCAATTTGAAATCGAAATATGGATAGAGATTCTAAAATGCAATTTATTAAGTATCAGATGTCAATTTTAAAATTCAACATCAGACATGTTAAGTTTTGTAAACAGGAAACATAAAAAAAAAATTGGGAAGAATAGATTTACAAGAAAATATCCAAATCTTGCGGCTACTCACAGATTTAGAATAACTAGAGGATATTGAAAAATTCAATAACTTAACAGAATTTAAGCAAACCCTAAATCAAAGTAATTTGATAAGAACAAACCTGAATATAGGAGGCTTTTTTGGAACTTCATGTTCATATTCAACAGAAAAATCAAATCTCAATAATTGATAAATGATATTGATATTTTAAAATAAATTATATATGACATAATTAAATGATGAATTTTCATGGAATGACTATGTAAATTACATAGTCAGTACATTATTTTCATTAAACAAAATAAATAATTTTAATAAAACAAATGGTTAAGTCAGAATTTATGGTGAAGTTGTCACAACTTATCTATAACAAATTTTCTTCTTCTTTTTTAATTTTTTATTTGAGAATAATTTTTTAATATACATTTGTCTCATTTTAATTAAAATCTAAATTATAAAGTCTAAAATGTATATCTCTTCAAATTATGCATTTAAATTGTAACTGCTCTAAAAAATTTAACAAAAATATGTAACGCTCTTTTTTTTTTTAAAAAGTAATAGGAAAATTATGACAGTAAAAATTTATATGAACTATTACATTAAGCTTTGAATAGTATATGTACTTTACACATAAATTGATAAATATTAATTTTAAAGAATTTAATTAAATATGCACTATAAATATAATAAAAAAAACATGTAATATTAAAAAAAATTGGAAAAACCAGGTATTAAAAATAATTACGCAAATAACCATGTTTCAGAGAAAATTACGCAAATAATCATGTTTCAGAAAATCTCACAAGGGAGGAGCCAACCCAGTTGGCGCATCCATTCTCCATTTTGTCCTAGGCGCCATCTCACTTGGCGTTTGTCTCCTCTCTCTTTTAGTCAAGTGAGATGACGCATACACTTTAAAAGTGAGAGGAGGCGCCATCTCACTTGGCTCATAGGGCAAAATGCAATTTTTATAAATACTTCGTCTATTTCTCCATCATTCCTCACACTTTCTCGCACTGTTCTCTTAGTTTTTTCTCTATTATTTGTGTCATGACATCACCCATGATTTTTACTAGAGATGGTTGTGTTATTTTCTCCGCCACAAAACCTCCGATGAAAATGAAATTCTGGCACATTCACTCCATGGAGCGTCTGAAGAGGGAGTTGATGCGATGGTTAGAGGGAGACATCGAGGAGGGGGAACAAATTAGAAGGATCCAGCGAAGACGAACAATAATCTCACTTGCGACAGGAAGACCTAATTTTTGGTTGGAGGAAGTCAAAACAGACAGTGACGTAATGTTGATGATGCATGGGTCAGATGAAATTGTTTTAACGGTTGTAATTCCGTAGACGGTTTGTCGTGTTTTATTTCTTGTTCGCGCAAGATTTTTTGTAACAATTATTGTTAATGAAAAACCCTAATGTTTACAACTTAAAAAAGGAAAGATGTTTTGTAATACAATTTTTATGTGGTTTAGTCAGTTGCCCGATTCAGACAATTTTTGCGATTATGTCCGACCTGACGACATAAACCACACTTTCTTTCCAGCTTGTCAAGGGAGTCCATTTCAGTTGTGATGCGCTTAATTTTTGGGCGAATCTTTTTATTCATTCGCATTTGGTCATTGTGCCATACTATTTCGCTGTTGTATGCAGTCCAATAATCAGGTTTTGCTACCAAATGGAAGATGTTGTTGTATACATTGAGCAAGGTTTCAGATTTGTAAATGGGAGACAGAAGTTGTAGCGTGTCTTGATGAGTATAGGTACACGCAACAATGACATGAGAGCAAGGCATGTGAAAGGCTTGAAACTTGCCACAATCGCACCAACGAGAAGGTAGTATAACCCTATACTCTTGTGTTGGCAGGCCCACGTTATGGTCGATTGTCTCTTTGACAATGAAGTTGTGCTTGTGTCGCTCAAACCGTATAACCAGATGAGTGTTGGCTTTGGCACTTTCTGCCTTAATATACTTCATGCAACTTTCACTCCATAATTGTCTAGATTGCAACACAACATTTCACATTTCACATCTTTTGGTAAACAACAAAGCCATCCTAAAATATGTTGATTTAACCAAAGCAGTTACTGGGAGGTTTCATATGCCTTTGAATACCCCGTTCATGGATTCAATTGGATTTGTTGTCATGTGGCCCCATCTTTATCCATTGTCGTATGACCTAGTCTATTTTTCTACCGGAATATTATTAATCCACCTACCGGCGTCCGGATTTGACAAACGGATCTCGTTGCGATAATATTTGAACGTAGGTTATGTCAATGCATATCCTGCATTCATAACTGCTTTCCTAAGATCTTTGTCT